AATATCATATTCATACTTTTTTAATTATGCTTACCAAATATAATTCATGCCTCGGAAAATATAATATTAACAGTCTCAACTTGACTCTTTCCACTCTTAGTGTGTCTATAACAAATTACATTTAAATATATCAAAGTGCAAGATTCTTAGTTTTTCACATAAGCGCGTTCCAATACTTTTTGATTATAAAATTTCTAACACCATCATTGATAGATGTAATAAAATTTCAGATTTAGGAGTTTTATTTGATTCTTTCTGGTTTTGTTTTTCACGCATCATATAACTGATATTTGTAATCGAGCACATAAATCTTTAGGTTTGATACTGAGAAATTGTAAACAATTTAAATCTACCAATGCGCTTCTCTGCATGTACTATTCTATTGTACGTTCAAAATTAGAATATGGTTCGATTATTTGGTATCCTCATCAAATCAACAACTCTGATGCGATAGAGAAGGTTCAGCGAAAATTTCTGAAATATCTTTATTATAAAACATATAAAATTTACCCTGAACGTGGCATTGACCACAATACTTTACTAAAAGAATTTGGTATTCCTTCTCTTGCCTCACGTCGATTTATCTGTACAATTATGCTCTTATTCAAACTTTGCAATAATTCTATAGACTGTCCCCTTATTCTTAATCAACTATCCTTTAATGTCCAAGGCTATCTATGCGTTCACAATTATTTTTCAATTATCCTACTCCTAAATCTAAATTCTCTCTTAAATTCGCCTATTTTACTTATGTCCTCTAACTTTAACTTTAATTAATAATGAAATAGATATTCACAACACTTCACTTAATCAAATAATCTTCATCTGCACAAGTTTTTATTTTCTTTTCAAATATCTTTCATTATTTTATCTTATTCTGTAAGTGAATAATATTGTTATATTCTGCATCATATGTAATTTTATGTTAAGCATTTTATGTTAATTATATATTGTAATTTTGTATATATTTTAATTGTTATTCATCATGTAAAATAATTGTATTTTTGAGTATTCTTGGAAGAAATCTGTGGGCTAAATATTTAAAATAAATAAATAAATAAAAATTCCTGCTATATTCTTGCAGTTTTGCGTTCCAGTTGTTCTTAAATCTTTTTATCATCACAATAATATTTAAGTTTTTTATGATCGGTATCTGATTTAATTTAATTAGATTTATATCCATCAGTTTTTAATTATTAGCAGTACATCATGGGATAGGAGTTGCGAATCGATTACAAATGTCGCGCGCAATTTCTGGTGTCTATAAACAGTACCTGGCAACACTTTATGATATACGAATCATTATCATCTTGATATGATAACGTGTGACGTATTGTCAATTTCATTGTTCGATTGCAAGTAACAAGCAGCCTTAAACTGATTCGCCAAAATGAATTCATTAAGTAAAAACAGTAAGTTTATAGTTAGTAGTAAGCGTAACGCCGTCAGCAGCACCCAGGCCGAATCTTTCTGTATCTCTCTGGGTGTCGGGCCTCTGTGGTGGTCCTGATGATTTCCACCACGAGATAGGACATAGCCCACCACCTTACCATGAAGACGACGACCAGCTGCGGCACACCCGCAAAAGCAGCATAAGTGATAGCGATTCAGAAGACGATTCTATTGATACTTCGCCGGATTATTCCCAGAACGCGGATGTCGATGAGTTACTTCACCTTGGCAACCAGTACGCATTACATTCGAACTACGGCTCACGAAGCGCAACAGCACCCTATGGGAGACAGTTTTGAAGGAGAACGTGCTCTATGTAAATATTCCTAATGTATTGCCTTCTGAGGGGTCTCGTGAAAGTTTCACGGCGCTCCTGGAACTGACCGAGGAGAAGCTGGGATGCCATTCGATGGTGTTGTGCATGCGACGCGATCGTTCAGACAGACAGCAGCTCATGCGGACATTCATGTTCCTCGGGTTCCAACTGCTGGCACCAAACAACAAGCTAATGCCACCGAAGGCTCACGATGATAATTTGTATCTTATATATAACATTGAATAGATTATCATTTCCAAATGCTAGATATTAGAATTATATCTGAATATGCTATCACTTATTAGTAGAAGTATCAGTTTAGTCGTCTTGTGCATGTTTATTTACTTAACAAAACATATATAAAAAAAAAAATAACAAAAAATGTAAAAAAAAAAATTATATATATATGTAGTATTTCTGTGGGTTAAGGTCATCAATATATATCATATCTTTTATGTATTTTATCTTAAATAAAACTATATTTTAATTTTATCTCTCAATTGTTCTTCATTAGCCTCATTAACTTTTGTTTGCAGAGCATATTATCACTTGAGTGTTGATTCATCATTTGTCTTGAATGATTAATTCATCACCACCAACTTGCAGAGAGCCCAATAATCTGCATAAATCTGTTATTTTAAAGTCATTCATTTGGATACATTTTTATTAAACAATATGTTCAATTTTCATATTTAAATACAATTAAGTTTACCACAATTTCTTCTAGTTAGATATAGCCTAAATTTTCCACATTTTTATATATTTCATAAAGTTAAAAGCGTTTTTGATCAATTATCATTTATACATTTATGTATATAGAATTATAAAAAATCATTTATTGTACAAACTAAAACGACAAGGGTTTTAAATATATTTTAATTAGGCAGTAAGCAGCAATAAAAGCAGCTTTGCTTAAATCATATGAAACATGCATTAATAAAATTTTGTATATTATTCAGCAAAAGTAAATTTTCTATTTCTATTTTTAGAAACTTATCTCCATTTACTTCGCATTTCAATGACGATTTTAATAATATACAAACAGTTCACATTTGCTTATCATTTTTATTATAAGTATCTATATTTATATATATAGAATAGGGATTACAATGGATTAATTTATTTTATTAATTTGTACTAAATATAAGAGTCATAACAGAATCGAATTACAAAAGTTATACAATTGTTTTAAAATACTTTATAGCATATAATACTTGGAAATAAAATTTGTTCAAACTAAAATAGAAATAGAAAATTTTAAAAATAAGTTAGTATATATATACATCAAGGTCAAGGCATTCTTCTTCTTGCCTAATCAACGTGTTAAAGGGTTGATGTCCCTGAACTTTTCTAATGTCAGAAACGGCTATCACAGAATGCACAACAAACAAAAAAGTTATTAATATAACAGTTTGTTAAAACACAAATACCACAAAAACATATTTATGAAACGTCCGGAATACATTACAATATTCAGTAGCAGTTCAAATTCTGAACAGTCATTATTCATAATAATATTTTGGGTCACCTATTAAATCTAGTCTATATTTTAGAACACAACACTATTTAATCTCATAGTTTTTAATTTTTGTTAAATAAGCTATGATCACTTTCTCAATTTCCTAGTACGAGTGGAAACACATCATATCTCCTCCGTTTCTGCAGGTATCTGTGTAATTTGTTGTTTGGCAGCAGCTGCTTCTGCTGCAGCCCTGGCGGCAGCAGCAGCCGCAGCCCTTCCTGCACTAGATCGCAATTCCCTCTTACGCTCTGGTGCAATAACTTCAGGTTCCAATTCGCCCGATCTCGGCCTCTTGTTACGCTTCTTATTGGCTTTCTTCTCGCCGCAGATTCTGGACTATCAGACTCTGAATTACCAGACTGAGCATCAGCAGAGTGGGTGTCTTTATCCTCACTTTGTGACTGCTCAGACAATTCCCCAGACTGGCTGGCAGCAGGCACAGGCGATGTTATTTGAGATATTGATGCAGCAGGTGAAGCTGCATTGCTAATTTTGTCTTCAACATTGGTGGTTTCCACAACTAGAGATCCTCCTTTTACTACTGTAGAAGGGGCTATCAAATCTTCAATGTCCATTTCATTGGTATTTTGTGGGGCCGCATTCGCCGCTGATTGGCTGTCCGAAGCAGGCGCCACTTTTTCTATTGTAGTTTCTCGAAGTCGTTTTATAGGTAATTCGTCTGGAACATTTGTAATTTCTTGTTCTTTGGTAGGAGTATCACGAGGTCTTTTATGTGCGCTTGGCGGCCTTTGCTGTTCGTCCGCAGCAAGACTTCTAGCTATTAATTCTGCAGACGTTTTACTAAGTGCTCTAAGGCTTCTTTTCTTTTCTTGTTCTCTAGATCGTTTAGAAGACCCTGTGGACGCTGCCATCGCACTAGCAGCCATCTCTGCTAATAAAGCTTTGCTTATATCTACACTGAATCTAAAGGTTCTTGTCATCCCTCTTTGAGGTCTTATTCATTCGTTCATGAGCTGTCACAAAGTCAGATGCAGCAGCAGGTAGCGTACTTCTAGTAATTTGTTCAAAAATCTTCCGCTTTTCCTTCTCTAGTTTCAATTGATCAGACTGATTTCTACTCTCAGATCTCTGATGTTTCTCAGTGGCATTTCTCAGAGCCGCCTGTGCTGCTTCCAAGCTGGTGGCTCTGCTGAGAGTCTCCAATAAATGTGTATCATGAGGTAACAAAAGCTGCTGCAGTTGCTGCTGATGCAATTGTGCAGCAGCTTGTTGCTGTAATTTATCTCGGGTATGCCTACTACTTGGTGATGATTGTGTCATGGAAACCCTGGAGCTGGTTTTACTTGAAGGCCGAGAGCTTGTTGATGGAGAAGTTGTTGTGGTAGAAGATGAACTCACACCTAGCCCTCCATTCAAAAGACTGCATTGCTGAGCTAAAGTATCGTATGCAGACATACCAGGTTGGAGTGAAAATGGATTGAGAGCAGAACCCAATCCAAGAGGTGTGTACAAAAGGCTAGGATTAGGGAAGAAAATGGGAAAGGTGATGTCGTAGGTATTGAACTTGAACTAGATGAGATGTGTGAGTTTTTGCCTGAAGTATGCGAATCCGAACTCTTCCTTTTAGCTTTATTGCTTCCTGATGTTCCACCTGGAGATGACAAGTTACCATCAGCACTCATTGCGGAGCCATCCATCCCTGGCAAGCCTGGTAGACCCAAGCTGGCAAGATTGGCAAAGAGATTCATATTACTTAAGTTCCCAAGCCCACTCATTCCCGCCAAAGCATTCATATTTGGCATGCCACCAAATGGCATTAATATGGATTCTTTGGATCAAAAGCACCCATTCCTGACATACCAGAGCAGCGCTACTATTCAACCCGGATAAACTGCTAGCACCTAAAGAAGGAAACTGCATACTGGAAGCTAAGGAAGTAGCTAAATTTGCACTGCTCACAGATGGAGAAACACTTGGAGACTCCAGCATACTTCTACTCTTCTTCCTGTCTGGGTTAGAACTTAGACTGCCACTGCTCAGTGGTCGTTGCAATTTAGGATCTAAAGAAGGTTTACTTTCTTTTACGAGTTCCGACCATTTTGGATCCACATCATACATTGGATTCTCTATAAGCCATTGACTTAGTCTTTTCAATTGAGGTGCTTTGCTCCCAGTAATTTTTTTGCCTGTAGTGCGATGAATAACTGAGACATTTTCCTCTCCGGTTAATTTCTTCCAATCCAAAATTGTAGGATCCATCCTCGGTCTTCTTCTTCGGGATAAGTAATCCGCTCCTAATGGCTGCTCTGGTATAACAGCATTCTGCTCAGCCAACCATTTATTGACTTTTGCTTCATGTGAGTAAGATCCAGGCAATTTTGGACTATAATCTGCTGCTTTGTTTATACTTGCAAGAATTGCTTCATAGCTTTTCCTTTGGGCAGATGTCGATGGCAATTTTTGCAAAAGTTTCTGCTGCTGCTTCAACAATAAATTTTGTTGTTCGGCCTGCTGCAAAAACGCAGCAAACGAATCCGTTTTTGATGGAAGTTGGGAACTGCTAGATTGAGAACTTGAACCTGCTTTTGAAGTGGAAGGAATGCTTGTAACTGTTATTGTGAATGGTTTTTGGTTTGAGCTAGAATTACTAGAACTGGATACTGCAAGAGCAGGCAACACGGAAACACTTGGTGTTACTTGTGGTTTCTTAACTGTTGCTTCTATTGGAGGATATGATGATAATGGTGGTTTATTGTGCTCCTTTGCTGCAGATAACCCAAGAACAATTTCATCCAGCTTACGTCGTTTCTTTTCTTTTCCAACTACAGGTTCTTCAATGGACTATAAAGTAAATATATGAAGTCATAAATAACAACAAATTCAAAATATGGTGAATATAAGTTCATAACATATATACTTACACAATTGTTTTTCTTCATTAATTTTGTAAGCATATTATCTAATTTTCCCTTTCCACTGCTAAATGCAGGAGTATTGGTTGTAGATGGACTACCCGGTGTATTTCCTGAACTTTTTGGCTTAGACATAGAAAAATCTTGAACTTCGCTCATATCAAATGAACTAGTATTGGTCTTGTCAGAAGTAGTTGGTTTAGTAAGCCTGTAAAATCATAATATTTAAGTCAAACTCACAATAAATATTAGTTTACATTGTAGTCTCATTGTAATAATATTTACCCAGAAGATAAATCAATTGGAGCAAGGGACTACTACTAGTATTGCTAATCATATTTAATGGAGATTGTTTCGGATAGTTTGTCGTGTGTTTCTACTACCGCCGCCTTGATGGCAGGTGGAGGATTTGGATCATCATCCCAAATAGTTCCAACCGTGAGTGCGGGTGAAAGTGCAGATGACACACTTCTCTGGATTTGAAGATACACTTGCCACGGTCAATGATGAGTTTGATTTCAATAGATTTGACCTACACAATAATAATATTAATATTGTTTTAATAAGCAACAAATTAAAGTTTGTTTAATTGATATTATTATTACCTGATCCAGATTGGCTGTTGTTCAACA